TCAACTCTCTCTTCTCAACTCTCAACTCTCTCTCAACTCTCTCTCTCTCAAACTCTCTCTCTCAAACTCTCTCTCTCTCTTCAACAAAAGTTATCCGCTTCTGGCTTGTCCAGCTGGCCACAACAGTCGTTGTCCACTATAAACCTCAAAAGCCTTTGTAGAGAGTGACCCTAGCTACACTTTACATAGCGTGCAAGTGTAACAACTGATGCGCTTCCCTTGTGCTTCAAAATTAACTTTTTCTCTCTAATTTTGTTTTACTGGGGCTTTCGTCTTTTTTTATTTCAAAAAGAGAGAGAGAGAGAGAGAGAGACCGACGGGATGGCAGCGGTAGAGGCCCTGGACAACGAGGTACGTCTGGCGACCGGTCTCCTCTGCGGTGTGCATCTCCAGTCAGGCCTGGTCTCTCTCTTGCTCGTTGTTGGTGGACATGTCGTGTGGCGGAGGGGTCGTACGAGGTTCCTCTTTTTTTTTTTTTTTTTTTTTTAGTTTTTGGGCGTTGCAGCGTCTGGCGCGTGACTTGGTCTCATGGGGGCGGGTTGATGGCTTGACAGTTTCCCTCGACTCCGATTGTCAAGGCGCTGTTTGAGAATGATCTGGAAACAGTTCGTTACTATCTCAGCGTCCAGCACGATCCCAACCAAAAGGTAACTCCAACTTGGCATTTGTGCGTGATGGATGGAGCAGCCCTGTGAGCATTGCCATGCTCATCCGACTGTGCCTTGCTTGCCTCATTCAGTACTTTCAAAACCGTACCGCGCTGCACGCCGCCGCTTTCTTGGGCAATGCCGAAGCGTGCGAAGAGCTCTTGAGCAAAAGTGTGTCTCGTCCTCCTTTTTCTTTTGCCACCCCACCGCGTGTCTCGGTTTGGCTGGGACAAGGTGCCGAATCGCCACAACCTCTCTGATCCGATCCAAAGACACTGATTCATCCGCTCTGTTTTCCGCTTCGACGGAAACACCAGATGCCAATATCATTGCCAAGGACCAAAACTGGGTGACCGCTTTGCACTTTGCCTGTGCTCGCGGCCACTCCGATGCTGCCCAGGTTCTCCTGATGCACGCCGCTGACAAGAATGCCCGTGACCGTGTCTACCAAACCCCGACCCATGTCGCCGCAGCCAACGGTAGCCCTTGATGCTTTCCTCCTGATCTGCAATTGGGCCCTTGCTTTTTTTGCCACCCATCCCAAATCAAAGCTCACAAATCCTCTTTAGGCCACGCCGATGTGCTGCGCATCCTTTTCAATGATAACGCTCGCTTCGACGTGCACGATCGTCAAGGGCGCTTTCCCATGCACCTGGCGGCTTTTGGGTGAGTCAAAGCACCACTTTGCTCTTTTTTTCCCCCACCAAGCCGAGTCTTGAGCAATCATAAAGGCCAGCTTCGCCAACAAGCCTTGTTGGTCCTTGTTGTTGATGTTTTGCCATTGCTCACGTTGTGGCCTGAACCCTTTTCTTTGTGCTAATTCTAGTGGCCATGCTCAAGCCATCGTTTTGATGATGGGCTACGATGTTGCCGTCGACAGCGAAGACCGCGCCAAGCGTACCCCGCTCTTCTGGGCTTGCCAGCAGGGTTGGTGTCAAGAAGCCCCATTTTTGGCCGCCCCTACCAAGCTTCATCACTCACCCTGCTTCCGGCGTCACGCTCACCCTTCTGTGCCTTGCTGCAGCGCACCTGGCTGCGGCCCAAGCCCTCCTCGACTCGCCAAAAGTGCGCGAAGGTAAGCGCGTTGTCCCTTGAACACGCTTTGCCCATATCAACCATCGTGTTATGACGATGACGGCCCTTCAGTCGTATTCACGGGCTTGTGGTCGACGACTTTCTCGTGGCCGCCTATAGATATCAACCACGTTGACACTCACGGCTACACGTGTTTGCACGCCGCGGTGGCCACTGGCAACGTTGAGCTGTATGTACTGATTGTCGCCCGCAAAATCTCACCATAATATACAACGAATGTCCACCTTGCCCAAGCCCTCACACGTGTCGCTTGGCGCCCATAGCGTGCGCTTGCTCGTGGAGGTCGGCGCCAATGTCAACGCCGCGTCCCGCGAAGGCACACGCCCCTTGCACATTGCAGCTCTGGAAGGCTTCGATGCCGTGTGCGCCTACCTTCTCTCTTATGATGCTGAAGTGGATGCCCAGGACGAGCTCGGCCAGACCGCCTTGCACAAGGTCGGATCACGCCAATTCTGTTTCAGTCGGCTGCCACCGATTCCACTATTCCGAGCTGCCTTTCCTTTCATGCTTTGGCTCTGACACACACACTTTCTCTCCATCTCCTTCTCCCTTCCCCTTTTTCCCGTCCCGCCACATGCTTCGTCAGGCGGCGAGCAAAGGTGGTGATCTGGTCATGGAGGAACTGATCAAGCATCGCTGCTCCATGGACATCAAGGACAAAAAGGGCCGCATTGCCCTGCACCTGTGCTGCTCCCGTGGCGACATGGCCTGCATCGAAAATATTCTTCTCAACAACGGTTGGCTCCCCCTCCTTGCGTTTTTCATTCGCCCCTTTGCTCTTTCAACTTTCTCTCTTCCCAGCTGAAGGGTTTTTTTTTTTTTTTTTTTTTTTTTTCCTTTTCCTTCTCCCTTTCTTGACCAACCTTGATCTCACAAAACGTCTATGTCATGTTTTGCTGCTCGCTCAATCTCAACGTGGCACCGCATGGCAGAGGAACTCATCAATGTGACGGACAACGAGGGGAACACGGCCGTCCACTACACCGTGAAGAATGGAGACGCGGAGCTGCTCGACTACATCGCCGATGCTGGAGGCGACCTCGATGCGATTGGTGGTAACGGCCAGCATGCCTTGCACGTTGCAGCCATCAACGGCCATTTTAGCTGCGTCAGCTACCTGTCCCACCGCATGGACACGGTTGATGTGCTGGACAAACACAACCGCACGTGAGTGTGTGCTGCAGTGATTAATTTCGGCCACGCTCGTTGTTCCTCAACCCCCGATTCGATCAAGTACTAACTTTTTGTCTGTTGGTTTGTTTTTTTTTTTTTTTTTTTTTTTTTTTTTTTTTTTGGATTTTTTTTTTTTTTTTGGGGTTTTTTTTTTGGGTTTTTTTTGGGTTTTTTTTGCCTTTTGGGTGGTTGGACCTCCCTTTCCCT